CATAAAATTCCATTTGCCAATTATTTATAAGTTCACCGATTCATATGTAAATATCTATGACATGTTTTTAAATAATCTAAAACATTCTTTCAAATTTACTGGAAAAAACACAGTCAGCGCCAGCGTATGCTAAGTGTAAAGGTACATATGTATGTTTACAAGGCTCTTCAGAATCATAACAGGTGGTTTCATTTACTATTTGTATGCATTCTAATTAATTTTTTGTTTTGTTTTGATTTATTTTTCATCATATACTCTGAGACCTCTCCAAATAGATATTAAAATAAACAAAATAATATTTTTTGAATTCATATGGTTTGACAAGTTAGACCTTGACCAATTAATCTAACGTGTTTATAGAGAGATATCTCATTTATTTTAGAGTTATCAGTTACAAAACAAATAAAGTCCAAATAAGTTGAATAAAGACAATAAAAAATCTTTAAGGTTATCTCACATGATATGCGTTGTGTTTGTGTATTCCCCAAATAACGAACCAATGCGCTTAAATACTAACATCCCCATTGCATCTTATTTGCATGAGAAACATGTATCTTCCTAAGAGACAGAGAGCTGGAATCATCGGAGTTTATAAAATATAAAGTATCATAACACAGTTTAATGAAAATCAAAGCGTGAGGTTTAAAACTCTGAATATGTGAATCCCCAATTTTACGTTTGAATTTAAATGGACATACGTTTTATTCAAAACTAGTTTGTCGAAAAATTATTGGTACATAAATTTACAAACGCTTTCTGTCTAAACTCCGTTCATTTGGTTGACTTCGTTCTATATACAATGAATATCCTAGTTCAAGTCTTTTCGAAAGCGAAAGTACATATAAAGTTGAAAGTTCTATAATGCCTACTGTTGTGGTCGTTGGAGCGGCAGAATTCTGCCGAGTTGACATTCTTTGACCGGATAAAAATTCGGGTCCGTTGCGGTTACGTAGACTCGACTGTCGTGGGAATGGATGTAATGCCTACTCATCTTAATTGGTTAGAAAGGGAACTTTAGGCAAATCTGATGAGCAGAAACCATTTTCTACATATTGGCGGCATATGTATACTTATGTTGGCAGCTAAAACTTGCAATATATAATTTATTTTATCGAATGTCCAACTTTGATTTGCTGTAGAATCTCTCATGTATATATAAACTTAACCGTATAATGTTATATACACTTTGAAATCATTGGAAAAATGTTACTTTTTAGAATTCACACATCATAAATAGTAGGTTTGAGATAAGCTCAATTTCGAACTTCAAAAGCAAATAATCCGATTGAGAGGCTGACTTTGAGAAACGTGTACATTATTGTGATATATAATTTAAATCATATATATGAAACAGATTTATCCTGAGAATTTATTTGGAGGGGCTACTATCAATTTCAAACTCCGAATTTTCTTTTTTCTGTCATTTTAGTACCAAATTAATGTTTGTTTGAATCCGGTTACTTAAACCCCGACTGTCGTGGAAACGTTTTTTTTTTTTGTTTTCTTATTTGTCTTAATTTGCTGTTAAGTACTCTCATTTAATAAACTTTAGATTAAAAGAATGTGTGTTGCGATACCAAATTCATGTGAATATCTATCTATATATGTTTATAAAAAAAAGTTGTTTTAGTTGCACCATTTATAACTCAAGAACGGCTGAACCGATTTGGCTGAAAATCTCTTTATGTTAAAATTTAGTACAACTCATAAATACAAAAATTATATTTTCAATCATTAGCATTTGTTCAAAATTCGTGTTTGTAGGAATCATTTGAATTGTTCATTTCTTTTAAAAACGAAATGCTTTATGATCCAGTTTTTTGTAAACTAACACAAGTTGCTTCACAAAAATGCTATATCTCATTAACTAATATAGTGCGCGAGTTTTGGTTAGCCGCACTCTTAATGTATAGAGAAAATAACTGTACACGCGACAGTTTTAATATTTTTGTTTTTGTAAACAATAGTTGCTAGATAATATTACATAGAAAGAGCATGCATACAAAAAAAAAGAGCTAATACCGCTATTAAAATAGCAAAATCTGAATATTGTCTGACAATTGGTGCGACCTTTGGTTAGCCCCAGTGTTATTTTTATCGTTTTTGCGGTAAGTTCTCTGTGTTTTTAATTTTTTTTTTTTTGTGAAGTTTTGTTAACATTTACACTTATTCTATTTGATTATATTCAGTTGACAACAGTGCGATTGAAATGGCTAGACGAAAGTTGTTAAGTGATGTGGAAAAGGGACAAATTAAAATTTTGAAGGAAAATGGTCTTTCTAACAGAGCAATCAGCCGGCAAATCAAAAGGTCAGAGTCCGTTGTGGTTTAACGGGAGTTCCTGCCTGCGAAGGCCTAACCCCACGGTACTTTCTATTGCTAGAAGCACATAGAGCAAAACAATGCGTTGATCAGCGCCACAAAGAACGAGTGCATGCATCTGCACCACACTCTGGAGAACCAAAGCATGAGTGCCGAATCAAAAGGTCAGAGAAAATCGTAAGAAATTTTCTGAGATTAGGAGATAAATATGGCATATCCAATAAAAATTCAAGGAGGAATACCAAGATAACTCGCCGGCAAGTTAATAATATTAAAGAAGAAGTTACTAAAAATCGGTTGAGTGCCTCYAAAATTGTAGCAAAATTAAATCTGCCAATTGGAAAAAGGAGAGTTCAGAAGATTTTAGCTGCAGACAGATACATAAAGTGGAAAAAGCAAGTAAAAAAACCACAACTTACGCATGCCCGTAAAGTAGCCAGACTTAAATTTGCAAAGGAGCATATGAGTTGGACCGATAGCTCGCACGATGTTGTTTTTTTCTGATGAAAAAAAGTTTAATTTAGACGAACCTGATGGGTTCAGTTATTACTGGCATGATCTGCACGAAAATAATCCTCCCAGAATGAGCCGTAATATCGGGGGTGGATCTGTGATGGTATGGAGTGGGTTCTCCTATCATGGAAAGCTCAAACTATGTTTAATTACGACGAAAATGGATTCGGAAAAATATATTGAGATGTTGGATGATGTGCTCATTGAGTATTTGGAGGATAACGTCGAAGTTACGTTTACCTTTCAGCAGGAGAATGCCAGCATCCACGTTTCCAAGAAGTCAAAAGAATTTTTTGCTTCGCGTTCTATACCGTTGCTAGAATGGCCAGCTCGAAGTCCGGATTTAAACCCCATTGAAATTGTTTTTATGCGAATGGGCGTCAGTATTTAGCCGCTAGGGGCTAAGAACAGCAATTTTGCAGGCGTGGCTGGATCTAGATAGAGGTATACTGCAAAAGTTAATTGACTCGATCCCAGCCAGAATTTTCAAGTAATTAATAAGAATGGTAGTGCAACTTCATATTAAGAGCGCAAAATTTGCTCAACTTTTACGAAAACCTCTTAATTATCTAATTTTTTGTAAGGCGGCTAAGTAAAGTTCGCGTATATTTACGTTGTATTTTCAGTATTTTAACTTTTTTATTTTTTTAACTATTTTTATTTTACATTTGAAATGTAAAACTATTTTCTCTTCTCTTTCCTAATAAAGAAGTATTTTGAAATATTCTAAATTAAGTTACTTTTGACAATAACTCTTATGTTAAACCACCAAAAAGCATGTGCTAATAGAAATCATATAGATGGTAGTAGTAGTATTATCTATGCATCACCCACAGTGAAGAGTGGACGGGCCCTCATCCAATAAAATAAAACAATGTATTTAATTAAGAAATCAACATTTTAATATTGCTAGCCATAGTTAGTCATTTCAGTCTGGAATTTTTACTTAACAACTTTCATCTTCCACAGGCCGTCATTAAGGTAATGGCAGTTTTCTACTCCCACGCCTTTGTTGACTTTCGAACTGAAACAATATAATATTAAATTTAAAAAGTACCCAATATAATATGCGTCTTACATTTCTTCAGTAGATAATGTCGTAACACCAATAGCTAATGCATGTTCCTTTCCCTCAGCCATTATAGCAACTATAGTTCCTTTATCAACAGGCGTCATTAGTGCTCCAGGTGATGTAAGACCGGGACACATTACATTAGCTCCACTTAAAACGAAACGTATGGCGCCTTTGTCTACTTGCTGCATGKTTACAAAATATGGGAATTTATGAAGTAATCTCAAAGTAGGCATCCATTGACTCTCACGGTGCCGAAAGAAAGCTATTTCACCGCTCCCCGTAACTAAAAGTTCAATGTGATCGTGACTAAAATTATATTTATTTAAACCTTATTAATTTGTGACAGAAAATTTATATAACCATTTCGCGATGCGATATGAATCCTTTTTTGGCAATATCAAATCAATATGCGTTTCCAATAAAGGATATGTCTCTAACAACTTTGCCCGAATTCCTTTCTGCACTGAAGACTTCAGTTGCTGCAGCGATGAAACACTTTCCTTTTCTTCAAACCTATATCAGTAATTAAAACTCATTAAAAAAATAATAATCAGTAGAACATGACTCACTTTTTAAACATTTTCTTTTAAATTATGGTGGTATATCAGATATATAGAACAATTTTGATTTTAGGACGTTTACGTTTCACTTAAAAGACATGCCAGATGTGCTACCAACAACAAAATAAGACGAAAGTCAAGTGAAAAGTGCTGCCAATATATCATTATTAATCGTCTATAAATCGATTAATATATGCTGCTCCAGTAGACCTACATCCTGATATTTTTTTTTTAAATTAATTTTAACCTTTCAAATTCTATTTCAGTGAACATGGACAAAAACTAAAATTGAAACATAACTGTACAAAGTTCAAATAGAAAATGTCATCTTATGGTATATTGATCCAAGGCGTCCACAAACAAATGCTAAATGGAAACCATCCCTAACATAATCTGTATTACCAGCAAATTTTCCAGTGACGGCTGCACATTACTAATATTTAGCAATTTATTTCTATATATATTTCATCCCATTTTGGTGGTTGTCACAGATCTCTTTAGTTCATACAAATTTTGAAGGGGAAACATGTACATACATAGTTTCGGTCTCATAATGCCAGTGRAGATGAAATGTCAATGGCTCGAAGTTTAAGATTTTATGCACAAATTGAAATTTAGCAAAGTATTATCCAAAAAATAAATTCTAACAAAATACATATGTACATCTCCTTGGATGCATTACGCAGTAATTATTTTAGCCTTGAAAATGAAATACATTTGTGAAAAACAGTAGACTTTTACTATGTATCGAAACATCTTATATATCGAAACTTCCAATCGACCGTCTCTAAGTGTTTTGTTGGTTATCAACAATAATATAAGAGAATGGCGCTTTTATTGTTGTATTGAATATAAAAATGCAATTAAATATTAGTATTTCTTCAATATTTCACCATTATCATTTTGCAATTTTGTGAAAAATATGAAAAGTGTTTGCGGAAAAAATGGACTACTTGTTTGCTGATTTATTAACACGGGAGGAGTTGTTGACCATTTTAGTAGAGGTGCGGTCTGAAAATGTTTAGCATTATAAATTCATTATATTTTTTTATCCTTCCCTAGCGAAAACTCAACATACCAAATGTTCAGCAAATGTCCCACGATGAACTAATGCGTTTATACAAAATGTTTGCGTTACCTCTAGCYCGCAGGGAAAGACATTGTGTCAGGAGTAAATTGGAATATAATACTTCAAACAGGCCGCATTTGAAAAATAATAGTATCACTTCAATGGAAACTGATGAATCGGAAAATACTCAACTATCTCCGACATCTCTTGTTTCGACTTCCGAAAAGCCCAGGCTATGTGGGTACAAACATATTAACCCTTTCACCGATGAATATTTGAGTATAGCAACCAAGCGTATTAAAATAGCGTGGTCTTGAAAATTTTTTAAYTACGAAATGACAAAAATAATGTTTTCATTCTATTCTATTAATTTTCAAAATGTGACATCAAGAAAGATAGAAATTAAACATTAAGGTCGTATATAGGAATACATATGTATATATGCCAAATTATTATGTTCAAAAATTGTAGAAACATGGATAAATACGAATTKGTATGAGTATATAGTGAAATTCCTTATTATGGATTGTTCGTAGAGCGAACACGGTTAAGGAATCGGCACCATGTTTCGAAATTAATTCAGGAATATTTTCTGCCACTGCAACAACACATTATTTACAATGACCTAACAAAGGAAAAATTATGGTAGTATTTCGATCAGATTATCTCTGTAAACGGACAAGATTTCATAAAATTTGTATGGAAAGTTGCGTACATTTGTAAGTTTTATTAATTTCAGGAAGGTTTTAAAAAACCGACAATACGAAAAAAAAAATTCTGCCGTTACAACAACAACAACAACAACAACGAAAAAAAAATCACAGAAAGGAATTGACTTGCCCCGTCGCCTCTTGTTCGCTGGGACTCAAGGGAAAGAAAAAGTGATAATTGTCATTCATTAATCCTGTTCTGGCTGACATTGGCGTATTCATTAGTTCAGTATAAATATATAGTTAGTTGCAGTATTGTTTTCATTCTGAAACCATGTTGGTATAATTCTTCTTGATGTGYGGCTACAGGTCTAAAATTTTTAATCACCTTTATTGAAGAGAGTTGAGTTTTTTTTGCATTTTGGCACATCGTTTCGTGGATATTTATATAAGTATGCGACGTACATATATGTCCTTCCTAAATACAAAAAATTTTAATAAATTACATCTTCTCTTCTTTTTGTGCCTAAGAATACATTATAAATACAAAACTTAAACAAACAAGTTTTTGCAACGCTCCATGTGAGCATCTTTGTTTTAGATAAAACGCGTTTAAAAAATATATTAAATAATTTTTTATTTGCATATGCATGCATAATTATGTATATTCGTGTAAATATATACAATACATACAATTTATGCGAACGTAACATTTTTCACGTCTTCATCTTTTGACATAGAGTGCATCGATAAAATGCCATTCATATACATATGTATACATTTTTCTTCGATAGTATTAACAAAATCCAAATTGTACCATAATTTGTATTACTATATATTACACTGAACCATATGCTAACGCAGTTATATATTTTTCTGTATAATCTTTTTTGTTATAAATACACAATATGTGCATATGTATGTAGACGGGAAAAATATACATATTAYATATGCAGGTATATAATCAGTGGTCTCAATAAGTAAAGGTAAAAAGCAATCGAAAGTTTACCACGAAGTTTGCTACACTCATAAGGAAAACCTTAAGGGCATTATTAATCTGATCATAATTTATCCAAGTTCGGCTGTTTGTACGTGAGCTAGTCTTTCAATTTTTGAGATGTCGATATAATATAACTGCCAAAATGAAAATTGGYAATAAAATCTTCACGAAATATATAAATTATTGTGTAAGACAAGGTTACTTTTTCGGAACAAATTCTTTATTTTGGACCACTATAGCATACGAGGTGTGTTCAAAAAGTATCACGAATTTTATGTTTTTTCAAAAATTATTTATTTATTCATGACTATCTATTTTGTCCCCTTCAAAATAATCCCCATGAGATATTATACACTCGTGCCAACGGTTTTTCCAATCTTCGAAGCACTTCAAACAATCATTTTTTTTATCTTCTTCAGCTCCTCCTTCGATGCCGTCTTCATCTCGTCAAGAGAAGCGTAACGTCGTCCTTTCATGGCCCCCTTCAGTTTAGGGAACAAGAAAAAGTCATAGGGGGCCAGATCTGGGGAATACGGTGGCTGCGACATCATTAGTGTGTTGTTTTTGGCCAAAAAGTCGCGCACGAGCAACGATGTGTGAGCAGGGGCGTTATCGTGGTGAAAAAGCCAATTTTTGTTCTTCCACAAATCCGGGCGTTTCTGGCGGATTGCTTCGCGCAAATTGCACATAACTTGCAGGTAATATTCCTTGTTTTCCATTCTTCCCTGTGGCAAGAACTCATGATGCACCACCCTGCAATCGAAGAAAACTGTGAAAACTTTCACATTCGACCGAACTTGGCRCGYTTTTTTCGGTCTTGGTTCGTGCGGCAGCTTCCATTAAGATGATTGAGCTTTGGTTTCCACGTCATAACCATAAACCCACGATTCGTCACCAGTTATGACCCTCTGGAGGAAATTTGGGTCGTCGCGGACAGAATTTAACATCTCATTAGCAATGTTCATTCGATGCTGTTTTTGGTCACAATTGAGCAATTTTGGTACGAATTTCGCTGCTATCCGTCTCATGCCCAAATCATTGATAAAAATCGAATGACACGAGCCAATCGATATGTTTAGGTCCTCAGAAACTTCTCTAACGGTGATTCGACGATTGGCCAATACCATTTTCTCCACTTCATTAATTTTTTCGTCTGTTGTTGAAGTGCTCGGGCGTCCGGCACGCT